CCATGTTGATATATAAAATACTTTTGAAAAATAATGTTTTTCACTTCTGTGTTTTAAAGTCAATATCATAGTAGAATCATGATTTTTATTTTTGAGATAAAGCTAGAAAAAAGGCTTCAGCATAGTAATGTCTAATTTTGTTGCACTGTTTTTTATGGTGTTGATTCTCTGCTGTCACAGATTTTTTTTTTTAGAGAGAGAGAGAGAGAGAGAGAGAGAATTTTTTTAAATATTCATTTTCTAGTTTTCGGTGGACACAACATCTTTATTTGTATGTGGTGCTGAGGATCGAACCCAGTGCTGCACACATGCCAGGTGAGCCCTCTACTGCTTGAGCCACATCCCCAGCCCTGTCACAGAGTTTTAAAAAAATTTTATTCAGTTGGCCAGTTCCAGAATGTAATGTCTCAATGAGGATATACTTATTATTCTGTAGTGAGACATTTGATCTTTTAAAAAAGGGGTATTCATACTACTTTGTATGTTAAGCACCAGGTTAGATAATAATATTGTCTAGGATGAAAATTTAGTGTGCTAAGGAGAATGGGGCAAGTTGCTTACTCTTGAGGAGCTGTGCTAATTCTGTCAGACTGGGATCTTGTCTGCAACTTTAAGAAACTGTTGCAGTAGGCCTTTCCATTTGACTATTTTTTTTTTTTAAATTAATTGACATTGAAATTTCAGATCAGCCCACTCTGAAACTTTAAGGGTACCAGATAGTTCTATGCTGTAGGATTTCTTTAATAGTTGGGTTCATTTAGACCAAATCATACATGGATGGAATTTAATTTACTCCATTTCAGACACTGGTGGCTGCCACTCCTTTCCTTGTCCTTCTCAGCCCCTGAACCCTGTTTTCCCCTTAATTGTTGCTTTTTTAACCAGAGATTGAACCCAAGGGTGCATATCTGAGTCACATCCCCAGCCCTTTTTATATTTTATTTAGAGACAGGGTCTCACTAAGTTGCGTAGAGTCTTGACAAGTTACTGAGGCTGGCTTTGAACTTGAGATCCTCCTGCTCAGCCTCCTGAGCCCCTGAGATTACAGATTATGAGCCACCATGTCCAGCTTTATAGAAATACATAAAGGTAAATTTGCTGTGGTATATTTATACATGTACATTGTGGAATTTGGTCAAATTTACTTCCCATTTCCTCCCCTTTCCTATCTTTCCTCCCCACCTTGATCTCATTCTTCATCTCTGACATTCCCTGTATCTAGGATATCCACTCCAGACCCCTCCTATTTTTTTCCTGTACTTTGCTCCAGTTTCTGCATATGAGAGAAATGTTCGATCCTTGGTTTTCTGAGTCTGGCTTATATCTCTTGGCTAGGTATTCTCTAGTTCCATTCATTTACTGGCAAATGCCATGATTTCATTCTTCATGACTGAGTAAAACTCTGCCATGTGTACATGGCATGTTTTCTTAATCCATTCATTTATTGACAGGCATCTGGGCTGGTTCCATAACTTGGCTATTGTTAATTGTGCTGCCATACCATTGATGTGGCTGTTTCAATATAGTATGCTGATATTAATTCTTTGGGATAAATACTAAGGAGTGAGATAGCTGTGTCCTATGGTGGTTTTGTTCCTAGTTTTTTAAGGAATCTCCAGAGTGCTCCTATAGTGGTTGTACTAATTTATAGTCCCATCAAAAATATATGAGTGTATCTTTTTCCCCCATATCCTTGCCAGCAGTTATTTTTATATGCTTTTTTTTTTTGGTACCAGTGATTGAACCCAAGGGCGCTTAACCACAGAGCCACATCCCAGCCCCTTTTGTTTTTATTTTGAGACAAGGTCTCACTAAGTTGGATCGTGCTAAATTGCTGAGGCTGGCTTTGAACCTGTGATCTTCCTACCTTAGCCTCCTGAGTCGCTGGGATTATAGGCATGAACTGCCATGCCTGGTCTTATTATTGTTTACATTCTTGATAATTGCTATTCTGACTAGAGTGAAATGAAATCTTAGTGTAGTTTTGATTCGAATTCCCCTGATGTCTAGCTATGTTGAAGTTTTATCTTATGTTTTGTCTTGTGTTTCTTCTTTTGAGAAATGTCTGTTTAGTTCTTTGTCCATTTATTGACTGTGTTATTGTTATTTTTTGATATTAAGCGTTTTGAGTTCTTTATGTATTCTGGATATTAATCCCCATACTAGAGGAGCAGCTGGCAAAGGTTTTCTCCCATTCTGTAGTCTCTCTTTATGCTCTCAATTGCTTCATTTGCTTTTGGAAGTTTTTAATTTTGATATCATCCCACATAATGATTCTTGGTTTTATTTCTTGAGCTTTAGGGGTCTTGTTATTGTTAAGGAAATTGGTGCTGCACCAGTATGATAGAGTGTTAACCCTATGTTTTCTTCTAGCAGTTTATGATGGAGGATTTCTGATAACATTGAAAGACTTTAAGCAAACAGTAAATTCTCTTTCTTGTGCTTTAAAATTATTGAATTTCCAAAGTAAGTCATTTTATTGTAAGTACTGTAAGGCCAAATAGTTAGGTTCAGATTCTAAAGGGAGCAAAAATAAAGTGAAAAACATTGAAAAAAGTTTTCAACATTAGACTTGATTTTTTTCCCCCATCCAAAACCATAATGGCAAATTGTGTTCTTTATCCTGTTAGAATAAATATTCACTTGTTTTTAAGACCTTGTGCTTATCATTATCAGTGTAACACAGATGAACACTTTAGCTTACGAATCTTGTTTCAGGAACTGGGCAGGCACCTGGGCTGGTGACACACGCCTGTAATCCCAATGGTTTGGAAGGCTGAGGCAGGAGAATTGCAAGTTCAGAGCCAGCCTCAGCCATTTAGTGAGGCCCTAACCAACTTAGTGAGACCTTGTCTCTAACTAAATTTAAAAAAGGGCTGGGGAAGTGCACCTGGGTCAATCCCCAGTACCCCCCCCCCCCCAATTTTTTTTTTTTCAAATAATATCTTATTCCAAAACAGGTTTATCTGTTTTCTAAAGCTTTGTATTTTTCGTTATAACCTAGAAAGATTTTTGAGTCTTCCATTTCTTTGATACTTGGTACTGGGGATTTAACCTAGTGATGCTTAATCACTGAACCATGCCCTCATTCCCTTTTTGTTTTTTGAGATGGGGTTGCCCAGGGCCTTGCTAAGTTTCTGAGGCTGGCCTTGAACTTGTGATCCTCCTGCTTCAGCCACTGGAGTTGCTGGGATCACAGGTGTGCTCCACCGCACCTGGTTTGTCCCAGTAATTTCATTGCTAGGGGTGTCTCTGTATTTATGTATATCTTAGAGATCCCTGTGTGCATATGTACCAGAAGATATAAGAATATTAATAGTATTATTTCCAATAGTCATTAATTAGAATAAGCCACATGACCATTGGCTCATTGAAAAATTTGTACATTTATTTTTTTTTAAAATTTTTTTTTTTTTGATATTTATTTTTCAAGTATTGGCAGACACAACATCTTTGTTTGTATGTGGTGCTGAGGATCGAACCCGGGCCACACGCATGCCAGGCGAGCGTGCTACCACTTGAGCCACATCCCCAGCCCCAAATTTGTACATTTAAAAAAAAAAATTATACCATTACAATGGTCACCAGTGTACAAATAAATATTTATGTAAGGGAATTAGTGGGAGTGAAAATTTATGTACTATTCTGCATGGGTCATCATATTTAATTCTCACAATGTTGTGTGAAATATAGAAGATAAACCTTGAATAGCATATACCATGCTTACATTTTTATACATTTAAAAACTTGTATTTAGGAATGCTTACTCATGCATAAAATTAAAGCCCGGTAACAAATTGCTTACCCTGAATGCTATGATCTAGTTGCTTTTTGTTCCAGATGGGAAATGTATGGAAAAGGGTACTTGGAGAGCTGCTGGGGTACTAGCAGTATTTGGCTTTTTACACCTGGATATTTGCTTTCTAATAACTTGCAGAGCTACATATTTTTATTTGTCATTTACATTTCACATATGGCTGCTATATTTTAAAATAGTTATTTAGAATATAGTTTTTTCCTAAAAAATATAACAGCTTCTTCTAATGTGGAAAAATTGCAATCATAAATTGTGACTTCATGACTTTGTCCCTTCTCATTTTAAGTCATCTGAATTGTGCTGGGGTGAACTCAGGTCTTTGTCCCTGTTAGGCAAGTTCTACCAATTGAGCTACATATATAGCCTCTGAATATGTATTTTCGATTCTAATGTTTCTGGATCTTTTCTCTGTTAGTAATTAAGTGTTTCTACATTATGGGAAAACAGTGGTGTGCTAAGCTACCTCATTCTAGCATGTGAGAGCTGATAGTTCATTTCCCAGCTCCACGTTTAGTGATTGGTAGGTTTAGTTGGCTCTGATAAGAGTAGAAATGGAAATAGGAAATGCTACAAATCAAAGTTTACCCATCTTTTCAGAAAGCTGGTTTTTAAACATTTACTAGTACACCACTATCCTATTTGCTACATTGCATAAGAGATCTACAAAGAAAATAACAGTTAACTAAATAGTTATTTATTTTTCTCATTAGTGAAAGTAGCACATTTAGATAAAATTCAATAAAGGCAATCTTCTTTGAGGAAGAAATGATTTATGGGCACAATTTCACCGTCCTTTATGAGGCAGGGTCATATAAAGGCTCAGTGTCAATTGTGTTATAACTGTTGCAGTTTGAATTTTAGCTCAACCTGTCTTTAGCCATTTGAATTTCATTACAGTATTTTCTTTTGCATATCTTTTGATTTTATTGTTAAAATCAAGCTGTTAATAGTACCAACTTAAAAGTGAGTTAAAACATACCTGTATTGGAAATAGGGAGTACTCAGTAAATTTTACTATTAAAAGTATCATATTTTTTATTGCAAATTTTCATTTTTTTCTCTATATTACAGATTTGTCATAGAGATTCTGAGAAATTCTTCCATTGTAGATGGTGGGATATAAAAGCTAAATAATTACTTGGAATATTTTTAAGATAATAATTTATTATTATTTTATTTTTAGGTGATTCCCCCTAAGGAGTGGAAGCCAAGACAATGCTATGATGACATTGATAATTTGCTTATTCCATCACCAATTCAGCAGATGGTCACAGGGCAGTCGGGACTGTTTACTCAATACAACATCCAGAAAAAAGCTATGACCGTGAAGGAGTTCAGGCAGTTGGCCAACAGTGGCAAGTGAGTAGATTCAGTTTGCTATTTCTATTTCTTTTAAAAAAGAAATGAACATAATAAGAAACCAAGCAGACAGCGGAGATTATAATGAAAAGAAGGAGACTCATGTAAACATTTTAGCCTTTTATTTACTAAAATTTAGCTTAGTGTTATGGAAATTACTTTACATTTTATTATTTGTAAAAGCTAGCCAAGAGCTCTAATGCTGAGCTACATCCTCAACTCTGCCATGAGTTTTTGATTTATCTTTGTTAGGCAAAATTTTCTTTGTGTGACAGCACTAAAATCACACACAGATGTGTGTGTGTGTGTGTGTGTGTGTGTGTCTGTGTGTGTGTGTAGGTAGAGAAAGAGAGATTAGTAATTTTAAAAGATTTTAAAAAATTTTTAAATTGAATTAAAAAAATAAATTACAGCAGAATGCATTACAATTCTTATTGCATATATACAGCACAGTTTTTCATATCTCTGGGTGTTTATAAAGTATGTTCACACCTTAAAAAAATTCTTGAATGTATTTGAAGACCACCATTATTGTATTAGTTATCTATTTCTGGATAACAGATTATTCCAAATTTTAGCTGTTTAAACCAATTTATAATTTTATGGAGGTCAGGAATCTGAGAGTGGCCTAGCTTGGTGGTTCTGGCTTAGGGTCTTTCATGAAGTTGCAGCCAAGATGTTGGCTGGGTCTATTTGTCATCTGAATGTTTCCTGGAAGAGCCTCTTTTAGAAGTTCTCCCCTTTTGAGGCTATTGGCTGAAGTCCTCAGTTGTTTGTGAAATGGACTGCTCCTCATGTTGTAGCAGAGCAAGTGATCCAAGAGAGAGTTAGCAAGATGAAAACCACACTATCTTCTCATGACTTGTCCCAGAAGCAACACACCGTCACTTCTGCTGTATTTTTTTTTTGTTCCAAGCTAGTTGCTAAGGGGAGGCAAATGGAGTTCTACTTCTTGAAGAGAGGACTTTTGAAGGATTTGTGGATATATTTAAAAATCATTACAGAATAATAATTCTGATATAGATAGTTAAGGCCTTATATAACAATGTTAATATGTCCAAGCTGTTGATCTGTACTTCCTTCTTGGCACAGAAGTGCTTTATACAATTATCTGATGATTCCCTCAACAGCTCATCTATGTTTTATCCCTATTTTACAGAGGAATAACTGAGTTCCAAATAAATGGAGCTTCCTGATTCTCTGTCCAGGTTTATGTAGCTTGATTGATTGATTGATTGATTGCAGTACTGGGAAATGAACCCAGGGCTTCACACCTGTTAGGCAAGCACTCTTACATTGAGCACTGAACTACATTTCCAGCCTTTGTAAAAATTTTATTTTGAAACAGGGTCTTGCTAAGTTAACCCACGCTGGCTTCAAACTTGCAATCTTTCTGTCTCAGCCTCCCAAATCACTGGGATTACAAGCATGTGTCCATACCTGATTGCTTATATAGGGTTTAATAGCCAAATCTAGATTCAGATCAGGTAGTCTGGTTCTGGGGCTCACTTCTTAAGAGTCTGCTATGGAGAGTAAAATGTTCTGGGTGGAAGGTCTGAACGAATCAGTTTTGAGCAAAATGACACAGAATTTGTAGAATACCTGTGGTTATTTGGAAGTGTATTAGGCATGGAATTTGTATCCAGGATTCATTAGAATCAGGTATCAGGCAAGTGAATTGGTCACTTTTCTAGTTTAGAATCAGCATTTATTACAAATATTTAAAGGCATTAAAATTTGATCTTAGTGGCCAATATCAAGCTCTTTTCTAATTATGAGTTTGAACATAGTGATCCCGATTGGGTATACAGTGATAGATTCTGTAAGTCTGCTTAAATAGTGTAAAGCAATTTAGGACTTCATTTTTCAAAATCTAAGAAGTTACTCTAGAAGTCCTAATAAATGACATTTCTGCTGCCTTTCTCTCCTTTCTTCTGTCCTGTGATCTGTGGTCTGGGGAATAGGGATGTGCATCTATTTTTATCATCTTATTCTGGCCTCTGGTTAGCTTGTTTAGCTTGTCTGGAATTCCTGGTACTTCTGGAACCTACAAATAAATATGGTGGAATAATGTGAAAGTAAAGTTGCTTTCATGCCCATCCTTTTTATTTTTGGCTGTGCAGTGAGATTCTAGTATACTGGGAAAATTAGTCAGTTCTGTATTTCAAAACAGTTATTAAGTAGTGTGCTATTATATAGCTAATCAGTTTGGGTTTTCTACTCTAGTGAATGTAGATGTTGATTGATCTAGTCAATATAAAATATTTCTTATTCTTTATATTGCTAAGCATCTATTTCACCTTCTTTCATTGTTTTCTCAATTTGTTTTTTTTGATTTTCTTAATGAGGAATTTTTTTTTCTTGGATAAGATTGTTGCTGGGCTGGGGATGTGGCTCAAGCGGTAGCGTGCTTGCCTGGCATGCGTGCAGCACCACATACAAATAAAGATGTTGTGTTTGCCGAAAACTAAAATAATAAATATTAAAAATTCTCTGTCTCTTAAAAAAAAACACAAAGATTGTTGCTAAAAATTCAGAGAACTAAGTTATTTCCTTTAGTTCCTATGTGAGAGAACCGTTAATATTAATAATTTGGTGTACTTTTATTTGACTATTTAATGTACAATTAGTGCTTTTTTTTTACACCAATAGGATTATAGTATACATATTATTCTATAACCTGCTTTATTCTGTAAGCGCAGATTTTAATTTCAATACATAGAAATGTACTTTATTTTATGTTTAATATTTTTAAAAACTGATTATTAGTTGCTAGAATTTAGCTAGTGTTTTCAGTTAATGTTGAAGCACACATCCTGGATCATCTCTTGTGGTACATGTATCTCTGTGTTACTATGAATTTCTAGTGTTGGATTTTAAGGTAAAGGGTATATATTTTTTGATTTTTGATATTATGCTGAAAAATTATATTTTGGAAAGGTCATGCCAGTATATTCTCCCACTCCAGGTTTGTTAAGAGGTCTCATTTTTTCCCTACCATAATATTTTAAGCATTGACAATCTAATATTTGAAGTTTTTTTTTTTTTTTGGACTGGGTATTGAAACCAGGGGTGCTTAGCCACTGACCCACAACTCCAGCCCCCCGCCCCACTTTTTGTATTTTATGTAGAGATATGTCCTCACTAAGTTGCTTAAGGCCTCGCTAAGTTGCTGAGCCTGGCTTTGAACTTGTGATCCTCCTGCCTCAGTCTCCCAAGCTGCTGGGATTATAGGTGTGCGCCATGGCATCTGGGCTTATTCTAGTTTTTAAACTTTCTTGGATTGTTAGTGAGATTGTCCTTTGTTAATTTTCCCATAGGCATTATGTCTTTTGCATAATTTTTCAAACTTTTTTTTGTATAATTGGTTAAATATCTTAAAAACTAAAATATGATTTATAGTAATATATTGTTTCTATTATTTATACTTTAGTGAAAGTATTCTTACTATTAAAGAGATCATATAGAGTTGTTTAGGAATACTGAGAGTATTCAAGTATCTGTGACATACATTATATATTAGATTTGACAATATGGGTGTCTGTTTTGATAGGGTTTTGTTTCAGAAGTGTTTGTTTCTGTTTATATGGGTAGGAAAACCCTTAAAATTTTCTTACTGGTTGATAATTTTTTTCCCCCCACGTTTACAGATATTGTACTCCAAGGTATTTGGATTATGAAGATTTGGAGCGCAAGTACTGGAAGAACTTAACTTTTGTGGCACCTATCTATGGCGCAGATATTAATGGGAGCATATATGATGAGGTATATATATATTTGTTTGTAGTAGGTTTTGTAAAGGATCATTTGGTGATACTGTTTTTATTAACATTTTAGATAGCTAAGAAATAGTCATTTGTTGAAATTTTGGGTGATCCATAATTCCTCGAAGTATATGATGAAATACTTACTCATTAGTATGATTTTTGCAGCTGGTAATTTTCAAATTGAAGCCAGCTTATTGTACAAACACCTGAGATTATTGAAAATAACATATTTGGCTGATCTATACATTAAAAAATCTGAGCACAAGGAAATATTATCTTAACTGTCACTTAAAGCAAAAATAGAATTTTAGATGTTTTCTTGTAGAATTCTAATCATCTAAAAGTTACATTTGAATAGGCTTGTAATCTTTTTTATCAAAAATAAATTGTAAGTTTTTTTTCTTCTTTTTTTTTTTAAAGTACATGTATTACAGTCTTTAGCCATTTTTACAAGGACATAATCCATTCTACAGGATCCAATCCTTATTGCCTTATTGCCTCCTCCTGATTATTTTTAAAATGTGAATTATTATTTTATTTTGGACCTCCCCCGATCTCTCTCTCTTTGTTTTATTTTATTATCTACCAAAAGGTGGAAATAATGTAACACAAAGCTGCATACTCTTTACCTAGATTCACCAGGTGTTGGTATTTTGCTACTTTTGCTTTATGTTTCTCTGTCCTTTTCTTTATCTCAGTTTCTTTATGTTTTTCTTTTTGCTATAGCATTTGAAAGTGAGTTGCAGGCATTATAACAGCAATGCCTTAAGTTGATCAGTACGTGTCTTTAATTATAAGACAACCTGACATATATATATATCACCTTATATAAAAATATATTCATATGTCCCTAATTTCCCCAATAATGTTATTTGTAAATGTTTCTCTCCCAATATAATGGATGTAGTCAATGATTGTACTTTGCAATTAATAAGTAATGTATGAGTGACACTTTGGTGTCCTAACAGACTTTCTTGCATCTGGTAAATTTAGCATCTCTTAATAATTTGGCTTACCTCCATTATTAATTGTATTATTTTCTTTTCTGGTACCAAGAATGGAACCCAGAGGTACCCTACTACTGAGGTACATCCCTGGTCACCACTCCCCATCTTTCCCTAGTTTTTTTATTTTGAGACAGTCTTGCTGAGTTGCCCAGGCTGAGTTCGAACTTATAATCCTCTTGCCTCAGCCTCCCAAGTCTTGGATTATAATGTGTGCCACTACATACTGCTATTTTAAAACCTCTTCCCCTAAAAAACCGTAAGTTAGAAAGCACGTAAAACATTGCTATTTGAATCTGGAATGTCCCCCAGAGGCTTACATGTTGAAGGCTTGGTCCCTGAATTAGCCATGTTCAGAGGTGGGGCTTTTGGGAATTGATTGGATCATGAGGGCTGTGACTGCATCAATAGATCTAAATTCATTGATAGATTTGTGTATGAATGTACTATTGAGCGTTGGTAGAAACTGTAGCAGGTGGGGCCTAGTTGGAGAAAGTACATCACTGAGGTTATGCCCAGGAAGGGTGATAATACACATACTTTTTTGTTTTTGCATTACAATTCTTAATACACATATATACCACAATTTTTCATATCTCTGTTTATGTATAAAGTATGTTGACACCCAATTAGTGTCTTCATACATGTACTTTGGATAATGATGTCCATCACATTCCACCATCCTTTCTAATCCCCTGCCTCCTCCTTTTTCCTTCCCCTCTGTCCTATCTAGACTTCATCTATTCCTCCCATGTTCTCCCTCCCTATCCCACTGTGAGTCAACCTCCTTATATCAGAGAAAACATTCGATATATATATTTTTAATATCTTTATTTTTATGTGGTGCTCAGGATCGAACCCCCGTACAGTAGAGGCCACTATGGGGTTCTATGGAACCTGGAGGAGAAGCATGCAGGACATTCTGGAGGGGGAAGGACATCTTAGCTTGGCTTAGATGATTGAAAACAGAGGGAGGTTGAGAATAGGACCTAGGTAAATTTGAGGGCAAGACCACACCTGAAAGTTTTAGTATTTTTTTGCTGAAGTTAGAGGTTGTTGGCCAAGTGGGGGGTTGAGGAAATTGAGACAGACCTGATACAGTGGTTGGGAATAAGGAAGAAAGAGACTGCTTGAAGCCTACAGGGTCGTGGGCTGGATTGTGAGTCTGACCCTTGGTACCATAGTGGCCCTTCCTGCTTTGTTCCAAGGCTGCTGTTAGTTTTGTAGTACCAGGCATATCTTTTAAGGGGCACAAAAGGTACCAGCCTTGGGTACACACAGGAATTAGGGGTGAGAGCGTTCATGAAGCACTAGTTCAGAATAAACACCCCTGATAGGAAGGAGAGAAAGGCCTAGAAATCCCAGGGCTTGAGGCTTGTCACCTCTGCTGATTTATATCTTGATTTCCTTTGGTTCTACTAAAAAAAACTTAGTGAATAGCTTGTGTATGGTAAAATAAAACAATTTAAGCCAGTTGTTATTTTTTAAATTGAAAAACCAAGACTATCAACGACATAGGTGACAAAACCTAGGCCTTGGGTATCTGATGCAGAGCAGGGTTTTTGTAATAAAGTTTTACTGGAGCACAACTTTGCTTACTCACTTGCATATTATATTTGGCTATTTTTTTGAGTAATTATAACAGAAATTCTATGGTCTTCAAAGCCCAAATATCTACTCTCTGGACCTTTGCAGAAAGTTTCTAGCTTTTAGAGACACAAATATTTGTTACTGGTGAAGAATATGCAAACCCTTTTTTGAAACAGATGGGTTATAATTAAAATTGTGAATGTTTTTAGGGGAATAAGATTAATATAAATTGAATACATTGATTAGTTACAATGAAATTTGTAGTGTTTGGGGGATTTTAGGAAATTTATGTAGTTGAGAAAGTTCTTAGAGCTGCTTGTGGTCCTGGGGGCCTCTAGATGATTCTTTGGAAATAGTACCCTAAGCATAACAAACTTAAGATCTCAATTTTGTTTGTATGTGTGTGTGTGTGTATGTGTGTGTGTGTGTGTTTCGCTAAGGTATACAGATACAGAATTTAATTAGCTTCTGCTGATTGTCTATATATGTAAGAAGTTATCCCTAGACACATGGGAGCTTCTCTATGAAACAAAGCAAACATATAAAGATCCAGAGTAAAAGGAAGGATACAGAGAAAAAAAAGTCCAGAAACTGGGATAAGATTTGGTTTAAGGCCACAATAGTCAGCAGATTCTGTAGAAAAGATTTCTGAGATGTCCAGTAGCCATATACACCTCCATCAGCAGAGTCTGCTTTGTTCTGTGAGAGCTAAGAATAGACATCAGCATTACTTGTGTTACTGCAGTGACAGAGTAAGTTGTTCAGGCTTGTTTTCTCTGCTAGTTTGTCCTGCATTTCTAACAGTAGCTCATAGTATAATGGTGATCTTCTTATTGAAAATAATGCTTCATTAAATTCCATTAAAATGGAAGTTCCACATGCTTTGCTGAAGTAGCCTCTCATCTTCATAATTGATAAAGCTAGAAGGGTCTTAAAGTGTGTTCAGAGAATTTCCTTTGCAAGATTTTCCTTTTGCTGAGTGTTGCCAGATAGCTGCTTCCCTAATCCTTATCACCCTCTTCTGTCACTTAGGTCTTCTGATTCAAATGTCTCATATCCTAACAGGTAGCATAGTCTTCATTGGCCCCTTTGAGCCAATATTTTATACCATGAGTTTAGCTTATCCCCATTGTTACAATCCCCACAGAGCAACCTAAGCCCTCTTTGGGTGCTAATTGTCCAGATTTTTTTTTTCTTTTCTTTAAAGGGAAATAAAACTATGAGATGACATTTTCATCAAGATTGAGAATTCCTTTGAAGGTAACCATCTTTTATCAGTTTTTTGCTGATAAAAGTGTTTTCCAGTTCACTGGAAGAAAAAACTCTGTAGGGCAGCTGCCTCACCCATGATCTTCGTTTGTGTCATCTTTCACTGTTGTTGGCTTTGCCAGATCATTTTGCCCTTGTTTTGAAACTTGACTCCTTCAGTGAATTATGGTTTCCCTCCATTGTTGCTACTCTAGATCTCAAAGGGTGTCTACCTTTCTCTCCAGTGCCAGCCTTGTATGCAGTGGTCTCCCCTACTGAGAATGGCTATGAGTCCTCTGCACTAGGCATTTCTCTAGTTTTTCCAAATGTTGTATTGACTCAAGTAATGCAGTGAAGTCTTCCAGATCAGTTCTGCTCTGTTGAAAAGACAGAATGTGTCAAGATCCTGCTTCCTGTGAGCTTTCTTCCCTCAGTTTGAGACATTACTTCCTACTCTTTCTGGCCTCTAACACTCATGTTCCCCTACGGCCTTTTCGCTTTCTTAGGAAACATTTTCACCAATAATGATGGGAAGAAAATAGCATTAATGCCCAATACATCTAATAAGGGCAGGGGACATAATCCTTTTGGGAAAATAGATCTGAGATACAGATCTAATTCTATTACTTAGAGATATATTCAACTGAAATGATTCTGTTGGTGACCATTATCAAAGAGAATTTTTGATTGGACAGTGAATTTTGGATAAAAAATTATTACAGAAAGTATTTGTGAAATGAAGATAGATAATGAAGGATACCTGTACTTACCTGTGTGACTATTTCTTCTCTAGTAGACTCTTGAGTCCAGTGATGACAGGAAACATTTCTCATAAACTCTCTAGTCCCAGGCCCTAACATAGTATGTGTACCAAAAATGTACCTAAATAATTATAGAATTGATGAATGCATAGCAATAGAAAAGTTAGCTTAGTATCATTTTGTGGAGTTTCCTGAATGTTTTTGGTGTTTGTATGAGTCTTAAAAGAACTTTTTTGAAATCATTGCAGTTAGGAAATGATAGAATTGGAGTCATTTTGGCAAATGTGATCTGATACAGGACTTTTAGATGGACTGCGTGCAGCAGAAGACTTTGGAAAGGAGTTTTGGGTCAGGAGGATGAGGAAAGGGTTAAAGTAATCCTCTCCCTTGAGAGT